TAATAATAAAAATATATGAAATAGACACACGAAACACAACCGAGTCACATATTTGTGTAATACAAGAATGAACAAAGTGAGAATAGAAGGAGATAGATAATAAAGGAAGCAAACAAACAAAACATTACAATTCAATTCTATTGAATAATTGTATTTGTTCCCATAATATTCATTTAGTATCAAGAATTTGTGTCAAATATTCTTGTTAAAGTGATATGTCAACTGATTTTAGAAAATTTTATTCGTTCAGATTAACAGTATTGGTAATTCAACTTAATATCAGTGCTCTTAAATCTACTTAACATTTATTGTTTAAAACTCCTTAAGATAAATTTATAAAATGATTAAACACATTAAAGAACAAGAGTTTCTCACTTAAGAAGGTGATTAGTAAAAGGTTGATTTATCACTTTCGGAAAACATTTTCAGTTCGTTAAAATTACTGATGAACTATGATAAGATTGGACAATTGTAAAATATCGACCGGCTAGTTTTAATAATTCATAACTTCATTATTGTGTTAACAACATAAGTCAGAATGATGAATTTTATTCATTTGATGACAGTTTACCTCACATATTGGGAAAATGTCCCAAATAACGAAATAACAGTTCATAGTTTTGTTAGCTGCTAGAACTTTCAACGGTGTATATGTTAAGAATGATTAGGAAACTTTTGGGTATAAGATTAATCTACGAATAAGAACAGTTGGGCAGCTTCATGATGATACAAATGAGCTACACGTGTTTCACTTCTTCAATGATTCTAAAGATAATATCACTTCAGGATAAATTTATACTTATTGCAAATTAATTCAATTCTCACTTTTTCTCATTCTTCGGTCAGACATAAACAATGTAGCAGCTATCATAGGTCCATATCAGTTCACATTGCTACTTCATATCAGGACAGTTGAGTTAAACACTGAGAAAGCTATGAAATGTATCGCCAAATTTTAATGAAAGTAAATCAGTTCTAATTTAAGGTCTACTTTCATATTTAATTGTAAATTAGTGAACAAATATTTACTTGTCACAACCAATCAACTACTTGTTACTCAGAAAAGAAGTTTAGCTTTGTAATTCGTTTGTCAGTTACATTAAGTTAAATAAATCAATAAATTAACCATTGAATTAAATCGACAGAACTTCTATCCTTCTCATTTTATTCATCAAACTTCGTTTATTTAAATTAATTTTGAACCATGATTCTTTATAAGGAACAGTATAAGTAAACGTTACGATTTTTATCATTATAAGTTACTGTCAATCACGTAGAATAAAATAATACCAGTCTGTCTCATAGATACGGTTTTCCAATTGGTACCAAGTAATGCTTTCTCTACGACTTCTATACGTTAAATTTATAAAAACTTGTATTGATTAATTACTAATGATAGAAAAATTGAGATATTCTTAACTTTCAAATCCCTTAAAAGTTTAATCGAGTGACTTGAATGATTGAAATTGCTTAAAATACTCTATATAGTGTATACAATCTAATTTTCTTATGTATTATGATTGTTCTAATATCTATTTATGCTAGTGAGCGGCCTATGGTCTTTTACGAGGAGTAACAGGCGTAACTCCTCCTCCTGAATATTTATAATTATTTTAATGGAAAGCTGTTATTTTTTCTTCTTTTGTTCCTGTCTATAAATTCATCATTATTATCATTAATAAAATAAAATATTATCAATTGACAGGTAAACTTGTACTTATGTACTTGTGTAACCCTTTTGAAAGAAAGCTATAAACAAGCTTACAAGTTTAATCAAAATAATAAATCAAATTATGACATCACAATACATTGAATAGAATTTTTATTAGAACACTTTTATCTATGTTAATTACTTTGATAAAATGGGTTTTTTTCGATTTATTTACAGAATGTTTTAATTCAAACAATTAGCATAAATGAAGAAATGATGAAACATTGAACTCTCACACTTCTATAAAATATATTACGGTTATCAAGTTTGATAAAGACTAGTTGGAGTTTTAATTGGTATGCCTTAGAAACCGATATCATTCGTAAACATAGAGAATATATTATTGTCTAAATGAAGACGTAGGAAACATTTTTCTGACCCCTAGTTATCTGAAACTGGAAAAATGTTTGTATTTATTGTTAGTAGGGGATAATGAGATTGAATAGGTTATTTTCTTATTTTAATAGTATTTAAAATATCTAAACAACTAACTGAAATTAATCTTCAAGTAGATACTCTATCTTAAAAGGCAAACATTATTTACTGTCTATCACTATTAGACCATATCTTATCGTTTTATTATACAAATGTACTAATAGCAATGGTATATATGATCAATAACAATTCATTATATTCGTTAGAACGCAATGAAATATAATGAAGCTTTAATAACATCGTCCTCTCTCTGAGTAAATATGAACGGCCAACGTATCACATTTATCGAAACAAGAAAAAATTGAAATCTATCAATTGTGTAGCACTCAAATCTATATCATATTCGATCACTTGTGTGTGTATGTGATACCTTTGAAGAAGCCTATTTTCAAAGCCTTTGTTTTATAATTATCTTAAATAGAACCCAAAATTTTGTCACAACTCATACTTAGCAAAACTAATTTATAATTTTAACTCTTCTTAATCAAAGTATTGTGATTACCTCATTATATTCTTTTAGATGACTATAATCTTACTTTATGCTGGGGATAGATATTCTATACTATTTTTTTATTGTGAATTTTTGTTTGTTTAAAAAAAATAGTATTACCATTATAATCGTTTTCAAATGTCAATTTCTTCAATAGTTAAGATTAAATCTTTTGAATTAGATGGTGGTTAGAGGTAGTCAACAGGAAACACTGAACCCGGGGTTCGTGCTACTTGGCACTCGTCAGCAAGGTGTACCTGTAATTCTGAGGGAACTGGTACTTCTTGAGGGATTCGATCCCGTGTCACCCAGTTTCACAGTCAGAAACGTTACCACTAGGCTATCCGGGCTGCGAGTGACCTCCTGTAGGACTGAGATGTAATCACAATTGATTGATCACTGGGTGGTGATCAATGTTATGTTTGTCAAATCTTTCTTAGTGGAGATCGAATGCAGTCGAACAAGAGTAGTGGCCACATTGCAACTTGGTCGATAGCATTCGATCTGCACTAAGAAGAACATGGCACACATGACACTGATCACCAACCAGTGATCAATCAACTGTAATCTTTTGAATGTTTGTTAGAATCATGAAAAGAAAGGAAATGGTTATGTGATTTATTTTACACCTTTGATTCACGTAACTGATGTAATTTATTTGATTATTTTGATATGAAAGTATTTTCTTCCATTATGAATTAGATTTTAATTGTATTTTATTATATTAATATATGAAGTATACAAATAATATTCTTAATTTAACATTATATTTACAGTTAAATCAGTAAAACTAAAAGTTACTAATCATTTTCATCTATAGATTTGATAAATAGATCGATTAGAGCTGCATTGTTTTTTCCCTTTTCAAGTGATTTGAGATCAATTATCTGTTCTCTGTGTTATTTGGGATTTAACGATTTAAAAATGATAATGAATGTTAAGATTTCTGCTAAGGTGTAACGGTAATCATATTGAAGTATAAACATTACATGATTAAGAAAGTGTAAGTGTCCAGCTACAGCTGAGATGGATTGTAAATTCGGTAGTCTGAAGGTATGAATACATTCTTTTCTATGTAAACGTGTTAGATTTTCCCGATTATTTATTCAGTGATTGTGTTAATAAGCATTAGATTTGGGCGAACATTTTATACTTATTTTAAAATTGCTATATGAAAGCTATTAAGTTGATCGTTTTCGTAATCAGGAAACAAGTCAAACTTGTTATATTAAATGTATTGTTCATATGTTCACTATAAGCATCCAAATATCTTAGGTTGATCTGTAACTTATCTTGGTTGGGGGTGGAAATAATTTAGTTTTTAAGTGTTTGGATTATCCAAAAGGGTTGCCATTTTTGACTGAGTTTAGATCAGTCTAAGTTGGTATATATGGATCTTGTACGGATTATTTCTTACAAGCTTAAATAAGAGAGATGGATTGTGATTAAAACTTAAGGAGAAAGTATTGGCTTCGTATCACGATGGAACAACAACACCGGGATCCGGGTCTATCAAGCCAACCAGTCTCAAGTAGAGCAAAACGCTTGCCATGTATTCTACTGCTAGCCGCAAACCATTTCTTCTATAAAAGGAGATGAAAGTAGTTAAAGGCACTAGTTCAAAATATCAAACTGCACATATCCTTTTTTCTAGGATTTTAGATAATAGCAACAATTACCTGCTGTTTACTATTTTATCATTCAATGTGTCTTCATTTTAATTACTGAACTTTGGGTGGAACGCTTAGGAAAACTGTTTCATAACTAACCTGTCACAACATTTCAGTGGTAAATAGATCCATTACTTAATAAAGTACTTCTTGTGCTTTCTCATCTTGTTTGTTGGCTACATAGGATTTCTTACTTATTAGAGTTCTCAGTATATTTGCAATCCCTAGTTGAATGTTATATGGTACATACGTATTATGTTTTAGTTCAAGTTATATTATTTCTTTACACTTCCAATCAAGCAAATCTTTGTAAAAGAATCCTATTTTCCTCTAGCTGTTACAAATAATTAACATATTACTACAAACTAGTTTAAGATGATCAAGATTTTGAAGCTAGATTGGGCTTTATTAGATTCACATATGTCTCGTCTATAAGTGACAAAGCGCACTATAATATTTGGTTTGTGCTACCATAAATCAACTACTGTACATTAATAAATCAATTATGGTAATAGGTACGCCTCAAACCAATTGATCGAGAGTTATGTGAACAATGGCTCCATAAAGCAGACTAATTAATTGGTGAGGAAATTTCGTGTTGTGAGACTATCATATACTAATTATATGAACCTGAATAACTTATTTAAAACCTGAGATCTTTAAATGCACAAGAATAATCAAAAATAAAACTTACGTTTCACAAATATTGTGATACTTGTTTGGTGAGCCGAACCCACAGGATGTCCAGTTTCACAAATCAGTTTAGCAGCATGATACTTCCGAGTAACTCGTTGAATGATCAGTGTATTTACTAATTGATCTTTCTCTTTAGTAAGTGTGTAATGTAGTGGTTGTACATCTTCGGAAATAAAATCTCCCTGCTGCAATTGAGATAGTTCTGGCATAGCGATTTTCTGCGATAAACTACCACCACTATTGCTACTGTCTAAACTTCGTAGATAGGCTTCAACAGATGTGTAATCACTGAGTCTAGCACCACCCCTACCCCCAATTCCACTGATTTTCTGAATATCGCTGTCATCAACTTGACTTGTTCTTATTAACCATCTCCAGAATAGTCCACCTAAAGGTTTGCCAGGTGGTGAGGAAACACATACTGCACGTAACTGTTCACCATCTAAATAAACATGGTTTGTTTCAGGACTGACGATTTTCGGAGGACCGGGAGGAGCTACAAAAGTAATATAAAAACACATTTATGATAGTTAAGTCTGATTTCTTGACTTTTTCGCAACTCTGAGCAGAATGAACAAAAACTATAAATAAATAACCCCAAGCTATGTTGAATACTACTTCAAAGAGGTTGAATAATCACGAATACAAAATGCGGTATGAATCATTATTATGATTAATAATGGGTGATGAAATCAATTTCTGTCTAAGGAGAAATCTACAGTCAAAATTCAAAGGGGTAAATAACCACTTTTCAAATTTGTTTGTTGATTTTAGTGAGAAGAAAAACATAATCAGACAAATAAATAAGTAAAATATAGTCACCATATATATATATATGCATCTTGAGCCGGCAAGATTGAAGTTGTTTGTTCTTGATTGCAAGTGCAATGAAGTATGTTAATTATGAATACACTGAAAAAAAAGTTGCTGAAAATACGCAATTACGTATATAATGTGTAAGGAATAAAGAAAATATTTTCATTTAACTGTTTATTATCTCCTAAAAAACGGTTTTTCTAAATTATTTATCAAACAAAATGGTTGTTTATATAGTTAAGATAGACAGATATAAATAACAAAAGTTAGAGGTCAATCATATATATATATATATAGAGAGAGAGAGAGAGAGAGAGAGAGAGTGTGTGTGTGTCAGAGACTGAATATATGCTTTGCGATCTCAAGTGTTTAAACTATGTTAATTTATTATGATACAATGAAAAGAAGTTAATCATCATTATGCTAGTTGAAACTTTTATATATATTTCTTACATATACTATAAGCTAATATCAGATACTACTTATGACCTTCACAAGATTAATGTCTAGTATCATTTTATAATAATCACTCCTTGTTTCAATTAGTACACTATTGAAACAATAAAACCTCTGACTCTTAATAACTCGTTATTAAATAGTATCTAAATGGAGAATGAACTTGATATAAATTTAAATGAATTAATCACTGTAATCTTTCATAAGAGTTAACGATTGTTTTGTAAATTTAAAAATAGACAGTTGTAGAGAATGAAACAATCATTCCCCTTTTTTTATTATCAGGTTTATCCTATAGATTGTTTGTATATACTGGTGATTCTTTTTTTATTTATAAAGAGAGAACTGTGTAAAATAAAACTTAAAATTTATTATTCTGAAATTAAAAATCGGCTTTTTTGATTATTGTAAATACCAGTAAGTTTTTATTTTTACTAATATCTAAATTTCAATAGTTGAAATCCTGAGTCCATTGAAGCTAGATCACCATAGAAAATCTCGAAGCACTGAACGGCCGTTTCGTCTTATTGTAGGACTCCTCAGCAGTGTGAGACCAGGTCTGTTGTGAGATATCAGCTCACTGAAGAGAGTGGTGTACGGTGGCGCACTTTCGTGGTTTGGTGGAAGTTAGACAATAACACCCTTGGACGCCGGCTCAGTGGTTAGGCGTTTGCGCGTGAGACTGATAGGTCCTGGGTTCGGATCTCGTGCAGGGGACGGGATCGTGAATGCGCACTGCTGAGGAGTCCCATACTAGGACGAAACGGCCATCCAATGCTTCCAGTTTTTCCATGGTCGTTTAGCTTGAATTGACTCATGATTTCAACTATTGAAATTTGTAAAATCTCTGCAAAACTCCTTCTGATAATATCTAAATGACAACTAACGTTGTTTTATATAGTAGGATTTGGTTGTAGAATTTATAGAAACTTTCCTGTAATCAATTTCGACTATGGTTGATTTTGTTAAACCTTTTTTATTAACTTACGTAACAGATAATGTTATTTGAACAGTAACAGTTTGAATATATCTTTGTACTATTATGATTACTATCATATCTGTATAGACGTGTACGCTTTATCACATGACAGATTACGTACATATCTCTCTCTAGCTAAAATGTCGACAGATTAAATATCACTCGATGTGATTGTACATTTGTTATCCGTTCTATCCGGTAATAAACTGTAGTCATCGTTTCATATTGCCTTCTAATTTCAAACACCGTTGAGATTTATATAACAACGGTTATCAAGGTGATTGATTAATGAAACTAAACCAGTGCAAGTGCAAGTTCTGGTAGCTTGTTTTCACCACTAAACAAAATATAATGCTGATGCTGCGAAAAATGGTGTCTCGTTTCACTTCAACATATAATGCCTGTTAGGACAATCAGCAGATCGGTTCTGTAATTTGATTGTAAGATTTCAATAAAAATCTCATATCAACTAGTCGGAGAATTTATAGTAGCTGTTAAAAATCAACTGTCATTTAATCATAAGTTATATGAAACTGAAGACAAAACTGTGTGCCAATACAAAATTCCGTGATAAACACAGTTCGTGTATACAGTGAGAAAACTATATACGAACTCTAGTGAATATGTCGGGTTTTTACCGTCATCTGATATAAGAAAAAATATTTTAGTATGAAGCTTATTTTTTGCATTAAACTTATTTCCATCAGTAAGTGAGCTGTATTATAGTTTTAATGTACTTTAAACCAACTAGTTTTATTCATCTTGAATTAGAAGGGAATGGATAGCAACGAAATATTTTTAATTTGAATCATCAAACTTACAAATAAACAAATATCTATTCATCTTAGTATAGAATGACTAGATTTTAGACTGTATAAATATACAGACACCTTATTTTCAGGTTGATGGGAACAAGGTTTCAATGAACTGATTTTTTGAAAAATATTATAAATGTATGCAACCAATCTGAAGGTGGTAGCTCCCGCTAACAATAACATTATTAAATGATAAGAACTAATCTTTGATTTTTATCATTACACTGCCAATATATAAAAATATCTATCCACTTAATTGGCTTATCTTTGAGTTAACTTTATTTCATACCAAAATCATGTTTCATGTTCCAGACAATTTTCGTAGATATGCACTAGCAGTATATGGATGAAGGGAAGTATATCAGGTACAACGATTGGTTTAATGTTAATTAGTTATCTTTGAGCACTAGACAAACACACATAAAACAATGAAACAATAACTGAACTGTTGCTTGTCTAAAATGAATATATATATATATATATATATATATGTTTAGTGAAAGGCGACAAGATAGACTGAAAATGTAAAACTCCATAGTAATGCTCAGATAATGTAGTGTATCAACAATAATATGTTATTTTTTTACTTCTAAATGTAAAACGCTATGACATTCTTCGTCTACTAGTCTATTCATATCGTTACATTGCATTTTGAGACTGATACAAAACAATTGTTTTGTGATTTTTGTTAGATGTATACTCTAATACGTGGTATTAATCATACTTTTATACTTAAAATACCATCATTGATTATGGAAAACAAAGCAGTGATATAAATCACATCAATATCAATGTTTAATTATTTAGACAGGGACATAGTTGACTTTCCTTACATTCTCAATAACTGAATCATTGGTGATGAAAAATTAAAAAAATAGTTCAAGTATACTGATTTTGAGATTATAAAAAGCTCATTCTTGTATGCCTATTCTAAAAATGATATATTATTAAAGCAAAATAGGGAACAGCTCGGCTAGAAGTTAATTAATTCAATATTACTTACTTGCTCTTCGTGAAGGAGCATAGGCCGCTCACCAGCACACTCCATCCAACCCTGTCCTGGACTATCTTTACCAGCTCCTTCCAGTTGTTATTTATCATTTTTATATCTGCTTCTATTTCCCGACGTAATGTGTTCTTTGGCCTTCCTCTTTTCCACTTCCCTTCAGGATTCCTAATTAGGGCTTGCCTCGTGATGCAGTTTGACGATTCGCGTAATGTATGTCCTATCCATTTCCATCATCTTTTCCTAATTTCTTCTTCAGCTGGAAGTTGGTTTGTTCTCTCCCACAGATGGCTGTTGCTGATGGTACCCGGCCAATGGAAGTTGAGTATCTTGCGTAGACATCTATTTATAAACACTTGTACCTTCTTGATGATGATTATAGTAGTTCTCCATGTTTCAGCTCCATACAGTAGAACTGCCTTGATGTTCGTATTGAAGATTATCACTTTGATATTGGTTGAAAGTCGTTTTGAGTCCCATGCGGTCTTCAATTGTAGGAATGCGGCCCTTCCTTTATCAATCCTTGCCTTTACATCTACATCTGATCCTCCTTGTTCATCGATGATGCTGCCCATGTATGTGAAGGATTCTACATCTTCCAGAGTGTCGCCATCAAGAGTGGTTGGATTGCTGTTTTCCGCTTTGAATTTGAGGACCTTGGTTTTCCCTTTGTCTATGTTGAGGTCTACTGATGCAGGGACTGCTGCTACACTGGTTGTCTTTATCTTCATTTGTTCGTGTGTATTAGATAGAAGGGTTAGGTGATCTGTGAAGTCAAAATCTTCTTATTGACTCTGAGCTGTCCATTGATGCCATGTTTTCCCTCAGATATCGAGGTCTTCATAATCCAGTCGACCACTAGAAGAAAGAGGAAGGGAGAGAGTAGAAAGCCTTGTTTGACTCCGGTCCTTACTTGGAATGCGTCTGTCAGCTGTCCTCCATGCACGATTTTGCACTGTAGTCCGTCATATGAGTTCCGGATAACATTGACAATCTTAATCAGGAACTCCATAGTGTCGAAGACGTTTCCACGACTTTCTCCTATCTACACTGTCAAATCCTTTTCATAATCAATGAAGTTGATGTATAGTGACGAGTTCCATTCAACTGATTGTTCGACGATGATCCGTAATGTCGCAATTTGGTCTGTGCTCGACCAATCCTTACGAAATCCAGCTTGTTGATCTCGAATTTGGGCGTCTACTGCGTCTTTCATCCGGTTAAGCAACACTCTGCTGAGGGCTTTCCCTGGTATTGACAGTAATGTGATGCCTCTGTAGTTTTCACATTTGCTCAGATCTCCTTTCTTTGTCCTTCTTTCCAGCCCATCAACAATTGTTCCTTCTCCCAAATCTTCTGGAATAGAAGGTGAAGCATGTTCGTATTTACTTCGATGTCTGACTTCAGTGCTTCAGCTGGTATGTTGTCGGGTCCTGCTGCTTTCCCGCTCTTGATTTGTCTGATGGCCATTCTGGTTTCTTCCGTAGTTGGTGGATTGACATTTATAGGAATATCTGTGTGTGCTGCTTCGATGTCCGGTGGATGCATTGGAGCTAGCATATTCAGGAGTTTCTCGAAGTTCTCTACTCATCTGTTCCGCTGTTGTTGAATTTCAGTGGTTGTCCTGCCTTCTTTGTCCTTGACCGTAATTCAATATTAGCATTATAAAATGTTATAAAATAGGATTAAGGTCTAGTTATTGAAAGACTGTTACGTAATCTTCATGATCATAATAAACGTACTATTCTGTTTCACAATCAACTCGATTCCAAATTGATTATAAAATTATATTACTTAAAGAAGTTTACAAGATGTTCTTCGGCTGAATATTCGATTGCATTTATATATCATGCATTATCTTTTAGCATTCCTGATGCTTAGTAAGATACAATATAATGAGAGGAAGCATTTGTATATGTTGTCACTTCTTATTATTTATGGAGAATTACTTCATCTTTGTCAAATAAATTTACTTACTTATAATTACAAAGTCAATACTTATTAAGAATAACTAACTGTCTAATTATTCGATTTGTTATGAATTCAACAAACAAAAGACAATGAAATAATTTAGAAAAATGATCATCAACTCACTATGAACTTCTACAGTAATTGTTATCGATAAATTACGTTTCATTGGATCATGATTTATTTGAGTTGCAGCGTTGGACACACTACACACAATTTCATCACCATCTTCTAAACCAGCTTTAAGGATACTTAGACTAGATTGTTCATCATTCTCTTTATTATTGATAATAGGATGTAATTTACCCCAAATTTTGAGCAAATTATCTGGAAGAAACGAAGAAGTAAACTCATATAAGAAATACTCTGAATTTCATTAAAAGTAAGTAAAAATAAATACAACTTGTGATCATTAGTTTTTCACATTGTAAACATGTTGGTTAAGTGGTTATAAGAAATCCGTTCCTTATTTGGCATTTTATACAGAGATTTTGTGATAAGGATTTTTGAATATACTTTCCTTAATGAAGTCACATTTGCTATTTAAAAATGCATTTCAGTATGCATTGACGTACATTTATAAAACCATCAATAAATTAACAGTCGATTGTATAACACTGAGCTGAAACCTCAAAGTTCATTCTTACATTATTTAATCCAATAATCGAATATATTTTCAACATTGCAAATATGAAATTATAGCCTCATAGTATTTCTTGTAACTGATCACTGATATTAATAAAATGTTCAAGTACTTTCACTACAAAAATGAAGTGTCATTTTGATTATAGAGTTGTTTATTTTCAAGTGATTAAATAATTTATTCTTGATAGATAGTAATGTAATTAGCTTGCTTCTTGCATTGTAGTTTACATAAATATACTGCATACATTTCATATACATATAAATTAACATATATTTTTTCTCCATTAGAAGAGAGCTCTGTTTGTTCTATAATCATGTAAGGAAAAGCTGGTTCAAAATAAATCTTTGAATCAGTTGATATGCACATGAAGCATTTCAATCGCTAATTAGCATATACATGTCAAAGTCTGCATTTGTTATTGTTTTCATAAGGGTAGATCAATTATAGCTTTATTACTAGATGTATCAGATGGCCATCGAAAAGGTAACCTAACTTCATTTAAAAGAATTACTAAGTAAATTACAATTTTAAATGATGTACTGTGCCTTAAATCTGGCCAATTTTATGGATTATTAATTTGGATTTATAACTGTAGAACCTGATGAGAAACTATCGAAAAGAAAATTCTTCGTTCATACAATTGTGTTTTAATATAATGGGAATTTTTCAGCGATTAAACTAGATGATCTGCATTATACTATCAGTCAAGTATATAAACAAATAGCAATACGTATTTTAGGTGTCTGTTTCCACTGAACCTATATTTGCTTCAAGATTACACTGTTTATTTTATTAAACGAGGGTAGCAATTTCAATGAAAAAGTAATCAGTTAAAGTAAATGACTTACTCATTTTGGCTACATCATTAGGACTCATCGGTGTTTTAGTTTTTACCTCCAGATTTGGTATTTCATGACGGTTAAGTAACCATTTGAAATTTGGAGCTGGTCGGCCACCAACTGCAGAACAAACTAAACTAATACGCAAAATAGGATCTGGTTGAGATATGATCAATTTCTTGTCGGGTAACTGTACATTTTGATATAAAATCTGTGGTTCATTTGGCTTAACTGAATGTAAACACGTAAAGAAAGTGAACAAAAACTTGTTATCGTCTTGCATTATTTTTTATATTAGTTTTGGGATTTGTAACTATAGTATTTACTAGTCATGAGAAAGTGACTCATAACAATAAGTGTTAAAAAAATGTAAAACATCATAGTGACAAAAATTATCATACACTGTGGTGATAGTTTGTGGAAATGGCATTTTTTTTCCAGAAATGATAACAAGTGAACAGGAACTGACAGTCAGGGAGTAATTCACGGAAATTGGAAATATATACAGTTTCGCTCAGACTAAGAAGTCTAAAGTTGTCAGACTCACTGAGAAGTTCAATAATTCAATAAATTATTCAGGTGTAGGGCAATTATCCATCAAAGACAATGGAAAATGCTCACACAACATCATGTATTGTTTGGAGCTAGACATTATCAGTGATCTAGAATTTTAAAGTCCGAAGGCCCTAGGTACGAGTCCTGTGGACGAGATATTAGATGGGGAATGCTGAGGAGTCTAGTAATAAGACAGGACGGAATAAAATGTAGTCCGGTGTATGATGATTTTAAGTGTTATACTAGTTGATGTCATTATGAAGAATAGCTTGCAATCAAATTCGACCGGGAAACGTGTAAGTGGCTAAACTAAATTACGAATCTTATGAAATGTACGGTTTGATAGTAGCCCATTTTTGATACAAAATCGATTGTGAGAGAAAATATTCCCATCATTACTTCACTTCTGTTTTGTAGATTTTAGTCAGTTAAATGGCTGTTTCCCCAACTTAATAAACTAGACTAATTAAGTTAAAGTAACTTATATATTGGTAGGTAGAAAACCCAACTAGTGTTTGGGTACACTAAAAATTCAGATTAACAGAATAACTTGGAGTAAAATCAAACTATTATAGGTATATCTCAGCCAATCGTTTGATTTTCTTGAACTTTTAAATGGATGAAGAAAGTTATGAAATCGATTCTTATGTCAGACCAGAGTTTCGTTGAAGACATTTTCTTTAATACTATTCACAATATTTCGTTACATTTTAACCATCCTTATAAAAATGCCAAAACTGGTTTAAACTAAATTGAAAATGTATTTAATAGCAATTTCAACATTAGGATGGGGACAGGAAAGTAACTTATTGATTTGTATGATCATGATTTCAAGAAAAAATTTTGTAGCCAGAACTATTCTCGTGATGATCTGTGATTATTAAACCAAGATTTTGTAAGGTCCTAAATTACGATTATATTGGAAATTATGCAACTTAAACAGTTTTTAAAACAGCGGTACTGAAAAACTGAACATTGAGTTTTGTTGGAGACATTGGAAACCTGTCCACCTTGTTGTATCTATAACTAAACCTTCTCCTATCATTTAAAGTGAACAGTTATAATAACATCGTAACTAGTTAAATAATAATAAGTATTTTGGTGGAGTTTTGTTCTCTGAGCTGGATGGTTTGGTCGTGGAGCTTTCATCGTTCTTCTGAACGACATCATCAGCACAAACTTCAGATAGAAGTGAAGTGTTCGAACAAACATATTTAAATCAATCCAATTTATCAACCCATCAGGAAAATCATGCATAAATATAGGAACAAAAATCAAACCAATGGGAGACACAACCAAAATAAAGAAGTAAACAATGATAAATTTAAAGTCAACAAGAACCAACCAACATCGAGGTGCACAGAACAAGCTGTGAAACACATATGGAGAAATTCGAACACTTCACTTCTATCTGAAGTTTGTGCTGATGATGTCGTTCAGAAGAACGATGAAAGCTCCACGACCAAACCATCCAGCTCAGGGAACAAAATTCCACCCAAATCATCCACCTGAGCTACAAATCTTCTCCACCATCTCAATAATAAGTATTATTATCTACTGTTTGGATGACATTGTTACAAAGGTTTAAGACTCATAGTACATTAATAATGATACATATTAGTGCATAATACATGAATAAGTGGTTAACAAATATCAAATCACTTTTTTTCCTATCATACCACATATTATCATTATTGTTTACTTTTAAATAGTTGTTGAATTAATCAACTTAATGGATGCTAAACAAAGAGAACCACCACGTATCTGAACAAATTAAAAATGATGTACGCAACAAATTTAAAATAAGTCAGCAACTGTGTGATAAAAGATTATAATAAAAACTGTTGCAATGAGAAACATTTCAATTAAATCTTACTAAGAACTTCTAGATACGTTTTTCTTCTTAATAATGGATGATTATTAACTGGGACTGGAGTGACTTGACATTCATATTCTCCAGCATCATCACGTTGAACATCTGTAATTTGTAATGTATGCTCTCCTCGTCCAACATCACCAATTATTCTAAATCTAGAGTAACCCGGTATAGAACGATCATAACCTAGGAAATTATGAATTCTAAAATTAATACCTTCATACTTTAAGTAAAATTTAAAAGAAAACAAATGTAACATTATTGGAAAAAATTCAGTGTTCTCATTAAATATACTTGTGTTAATGAACATTAAACTTTCATCATTCATAACTGCCTAATGTATCAAACAACAATGTTGTACATAGTTGCTGAAAGATGACAAGTTTTAAATTGATAAGCTGAATTCAACGGGATATATAAACATTTCAACTAGTAAATATTTCTAGTATAAGGCTTGTGGAGACTATTAAGTTTTTGACCGAGATCATGAACCGATTGATGTTAGACCACCACCTTTGGAAACCTGGAAGCACTGGACGGCCGTTTCGTCCTATTGTGGGACTCCTCAGCAGTGCGCATCCACGATCCCGCCAGCGGGATTGCAATCTGTTTTTAATGATGTACTTTAGGACATAAATTATCTGAAAACATACGCTTTTTAAATGAAACCTGTGAAGTTTATACTTAAGTATTGATCCCTGTAAAATATGATCTATCAACTGTGATGGATGCCATGTAAACTAGCGATGTGGTGGAGAACGATGAAGTAATAATAATGTTTTATTGTTGTAGGATTTTCTGCCTGTGTTTTACCATACTGTAACTAGTTGATGACTGCATTTTGACATCCCATTGTGTATATTAAACAATAAACCTAAGAGTAGTTTTCGTTTCAGTGAACTTTACGTTAAACTTCAGGAACTCGTTGAGCACCTTCAACGCGATGGGTTGTTCACAACATTTTAATCGTTTAAAGATCCTTATCATGTTAAAAGACTAGTATTTGAACGAAGAATATTCTTTTCGATTAGTTCTATCCAGGTTTTACAATTATATATCCAAAATCATAATCCGAAAAATGGTCAGGTTAAGGTCAAAGTACATCGTTTAAAGCATGTGAATTTAGGATTGTTAAACAAATTACAATAAAATTGTTAATGTTGATATGACTCATATAGAATGTTAACTTGAATCTGCTTATATATTAAGTGAAGTTTAAGATCCATGATCAAAATTAATAAGGGTGAGATAAGGTAAGAGAAATAATAGTGCAATTACAATTCGGTCAAACGTTTAATGGAAGGATATAGTGTATGAAAAATTAGTAACAATCCTAAATTCATGTGCTTTAAACGATGTACTTTTCCCTTAACCTGGCCATTTTTCGGATTATTAATTTGGATATATAATTGTAGAACTTGAAGAGAATTTGTCAAAAACAATATTCTTCGTTCAAATACTAGTTTTTTAATAAGCTTAAGAGTTGAAGTTGGTGTTTGACAAGTTGTATAACATAAATGAATCGGTTATGTCATTCCATCTTAACACATGTAACAATATGTGAAAAGACTGATTATTAAATCCTTATCCATTATCTCACGATCAATAACCTTACATTTTGAGTATCTATAGTGTAAACATCAACATACTATTACCTCTCAGGGCAATTTATTTTCATTTATTCTGAAATATTTTGTATAGAATAGAGTAAAAAACGAACATTAGTCACTGGTAAGTTTTCTTTAAATTATAGGCTTTATATATACATATGCGGATTGGCTGAAACTAATCGATTTCATGTAATCCATTAGAGATAATATAACAATAGAATCAAAACTTATATTGAATTACCCAAATTACATATATATTCAATCATGATGTATTTCTTTATCTTTTGGGAAACAAAGCATCTATAATAAATATACTCCACGTTTGACTGATATTCCGTTATTCCCCTGATAATACTATGCTTAAATGGTCGAATAATAACATGCTATTATTTTAGCTTTAAGTTAGATATAAAATTGTAGATTGATCTAATTTAACTAAAAGATCAGTTAAGTGATTTGTGTTTATCAATGGAATACTTCGAGAATTCCATAAATCAGTCATATTCACATGATGAACATAAAGTTTACGAATTAAGTGTTAACTTATTGGATATTTTTACTTCTTAGAATCTGTCAGTGATGATGCATACTTTAACATGAAACATTGTGCATTTATACATTATTTCAGTGCAGATAATAACACATTAATAATATTATCCTTAATCACACGTATTATTCCAACTATTAAAAGTGAATACATCTTTAAAACTGGTCTTCTTTCACAGATAGTGTGATAACCTGTTCTTTTCTAAACTGAATGTAACATTAAATTCACTTAATATTGTTTACTTGAATCTTCCCATTAATGTTTAGGACTGCAATCGATCATTCTCTTATTGGCATATATGCGTACTGTGAGTATTGCCTCGATATTGCTCTAATTCATAAGCACTACAAGAAAAGATGAATAATGGCTAGCAATAGAATTCAGTACACAGGTTTCGTCCTGTTTGTGACTCGTCAGCTAGACTTACCTGCATCCTACAGTTGATGTTCTCTCCAAGGCTCGAACTCAGTACCATTCGCTTTAAACTCCATCATGTTATCTATTTAGCTACTGAGCGCTGGAGTAAAGATCAACTCTGAGATGCAGGTATATTCAGCTGACGAACCCCGAGTAGGACGTAGTCCGCGTCCTGCATTCCACTGCCAGCCACTATCTATCTTTGAATTTAGTATTTATTACGGCTAAAAATCAGCTACAAAAACATTGAAAACTATTGAATGTTGGAATATGTCTTCATCTTAGTCTCTTGTTTATCACAATTTTCTAGTGAATAACACGTAAAAGATTAAATCTAAGATTTTTTTGGAGTAATTTTCATTGGATCAAGTTTTCAAAATATAAACAAAAAATAATAAGGGTATCAATAGTCATAACAAAACATGATAGGAAACACTACTCAAATAAACAATGTTCGTCTCATTAAGCATAACGTGACCAAAAGGATGAAAAACCAACTGGTTAATACTTCATAACACTCAGATATAATTTAGAAAATTACCTTAACTATTAATCTAATGACTTTTAATACCTTATTCCTTTTAAAAGCTGTTCATAAATGTTCACTCTTAACTACCTACTACGAGTTCTATAATGGTTGAGTTGAGAACATAAGCAGTTTATTTATAATAGATTTTCGTAGCTCTTCTTTCTTATTAGTCAATTGAAAATTTATGTTTAGATAACAGTATGCTGTTATAAACAATAAAGATCGTTTGATTTAAATTTAATCATTTTATTTAAGAATTGCATGGATTTTGTTGTTTTAATTGAAATTTCTTAAGTGTATCAATTAGTCCAGTTAAATTTACAAATGAAATTGTGACTTTGAAAATTTATCTCAGGTTCCATGTACTTCAGAAGTTATTCTTCGTTACAGCTTAACTTTATCTCTCCAGTTTTGAATATCTCACTTATCCTTAGTATAATATCGTTTAACATCGAACAACATCTTGTTCATAAGATTTCACTATTGTCTAGACATTTACTTACTTAACTTTAACTGGTTTTTCAAACCTTTTTCTTCAAAATGATTATCATATTTTTGTTCGAGACAGATATATATCTTAGGCATTGAAAAAGATTTCATTTCTATTGTAAATACAGATCTAACTATATTGATATTTATTCAGTTAATTTACTTGATTATTCAAGTGAAAATAGAAAAGTACAATTAATACTGTTAAATTACTATATGATATCTACATATATTATGGTTCATTTTCTCTTTTAAATCGCCCTGAATAAAAAAGTTTACTTAGAGTATGATAACCAACGAAATCTATTTCGTAATATTTATTACAATTTAGTCTGTCAACAGTTTATGGCCTCTTGAATGTAGACAATCAAGCTTATTCAGCTGAAGTATGATCTTCATAATTCATTATTTAAAGTATAAATAGATTGTTAATCATAGTGATTTTATACATTCATTGTTATTGTGTATAAATATTATTTGACATATATTCCAAGTTTATCTAAGTCGAATACATGAGTTGTTTTTGTTTAGTTCTTAACATGATATACTCATCTTTAAATAAGAACTTCCGTCCAAATTTGAACGAATAGTTAAACAATATTTGGGCGCCGAGTTAATGTGAGTCATCAAAGAGGAAGAATGTATTTGTAAAATCTCAGCGAAAGAATTTGAAGTAAATCCAGCGTTTCGCCTGGCAATATGGTCCAAGCTTTTTTAAGAAAAATATAATCAAACAACATAACCATCGAATATAAATAAGTACATGGTTCTCTAGTTTACTGTATATTGAATAAGTCATCCAATCAACGTGAACAATGTTTAAAGTAGGTATTTACATTAATGTGTAAGAGACATGTGGTATGAAACGAAAAGTGTTAAGATAACAGATTGTGTGTATACGTAAGTGAGAAGAAATTTCATTCAACTACATAATGTCTTCGGACTGCGTATATTAAGAAAAACATATCATTATATATATATGAAATGAATAAAAAATGTCACAGCATGCATCAAATTAAGATAAATAAATAAGATTAGTAAACAAGATAAAAGACTGAATTCAAAAGGAATGTGTTTGTAATTGAAAGTTTGTATTATTTTAATGTTCCAGTCAGTTGTTTAACATATTCAGATAAGCTAACTGATTTGAAACCGTTGATCAGTTAATATGATATAGACAGATCAAATGGAATAAGGAGTTTACTTGCCATAGGACAGCTAGTTGTATTCCGTCTCTCCTATTAATACTGTTTGAACTAGCCCATATATGTAGGGCTTCGGCTGTTAGCCGTTCTTTGTAAGAATTAAAGCCTTTTTGAATGATTCTTGTACCACTGAAATCAACTGTATGACCCGATTCAATGGAGTGTAATGCTATCGCTGAGTTGTTCTCAAGCTTTCTTACATCATCGGAGGATTTAGGAATGTGCTTCAAGCACAGTTTGTGTTCCTTGAAAAAGCTTGCACCAGATTGCCAGGCGAAACATCGGATTTACTTCAAATTATTTCGCTGAGATTTAATAAACACATTCTTCCTCTTTAATACCCATCTTTAGTTATAATAAAATCTTTAAAATTAGTCGGAACAATTTCA